GATGTACAAGAAACACTGGCAAAAGAACAGTTTATTGATGCTCTCCTAGATGCTGACATAAGATTGAGAATAAAACAAGCAAGGCCATTAAATCTCAATGATGCTATTCGACATGCTGTCGAATTGGAAGCATTTGTTAAATCTGATCGTAAAATGTTCGAAAAACAAACCCACTTACGACCAATGCAGTCAGAGAAAACTGAGGGAAACAAGAAAACCATATCTGATCAGATCAGCACAAGTATATTGGTAGAGCTGAAGGATGAAATAAGAAAACTTCGTAAGGAAGTTAATGACATGAAAGCAAAGAATTCCCAGGATGTTGTATACAAAAAGAAACCTGGAGCTACCAGCAACAGACGCTGCTATTTGTGTGGATCTCCAAATCATTTCCGATATGACTGTCCACAAGGTTATAGAACTCAACAAAACACAGCATCACAAAAGAAATATTCATATAGTACAAAGAAACATCCTGTACAAAACACATTCAAATGCATCACGTCTTACAAAGCTCAAGTTGGTGTAAACCAGAATGACCCTGAAGCTGGAATGTACGTAAAAGCTACCATCCAGGGGATTGAAGCGAATTTGCTTGTTGACACGGGAGCAACACTATCAGTACTGTCAAGTAAAGTTTATGAGGCTATACAAAACAGACCAGTTTTGTACAAAACCGATCAAATAGTCTCTTCCGCATGTGGGACCGACTTAACTGTGAAAGGAAAAACTAGCATTTGCATTAATCTGGGTGAGAGTTTTTATAGCCAAGATGTCATCGTAGCAGAGTTTTCTCTTGATGGAGTCATTGGACTTGACTTTATGAAGAAATACAATTGTACAATAGACATAGTTAATGGGTATTTTAAGGTTCACGACAAAGTTTACAAAGTTGATTTCTTTGGCAAAATCGGTTGCTTTAGAATTAAATCGAAAGAGATGATTGTCGTTCCTGCCAGAAGTGAGATAGTGACTTATTGTAAGGTCTCAATGCCGTCAAAATCCTACGACATGAAAGAAGTTTTAGGTATGATAGAACCATCGGAGAAGTTCCTCAAATCAGGAAAAGCGTTAATAGCAAGATCAGTTGGATATGTAAAAGATGGAGAAATACCAGTTCGAATGATGAATCCATTCCATGAACATCAAACAGTGTATCCAGGTACATTTATTGCAAATATGAGTTCAGTTGACAATGTTTTTGAACCAACCTCTACTGTAAACAAGCCATGCAAAGATCTGCCATCTCATCTACAGGATCTGTTTGTGAGATCTAAAGTTAATCTAAATGGTGGTGAAATACCTCAGTTACAGAAGTTTTTGGCTAGGTATGCAGATATATTTGCGAGGTCAGACAGAGACTTGGGACGTACTTCACTGGTTAAACACACGATTGATACCAAGGATGCACGCCCACTGAAAGAACCTCCTAGAAGAATTCCACATCATTTACAGGACGAGATGAACAAGCAATTAGATGACATGCTAGACAGAAAAATCATAGAGAAATCGAATAGTCCATGGGCATCGGGAGTCGTTTTAGCCAAAAAGAAAGATGGTTCTTTGCGATTTTGTGTGGATTACAGGCGTTTAAATGCAGCTACAGTCAAAGACGCCTACCCACTTCCACGCATCGACGACTCGTTAGACAGTCTTGCCGGAGCAAAGTGGTTCTCAACCCTCGACTTGTGCTCCGGGTATTGGCAAGTTAGCATGGATGACTCAGATAAATTAAAAACGGCATTTGCAACTAAACGTGGTTTATACCATTTCAATGTTATGCCGTTTGGCCTTTGCAATGCCCCGGCAACCTTCGAAAGGCTAATGGAAACTGTTCTGAGTGGCTTGCAATGGCAAATATGTTTGGTATACCTAGATGACATCATTGTTATCGGAACATCGTTTACCAACATGTTAGAAAACCTCACACAGGTATTTGATAGACTGTCATCTGCTAACCTGAAACTGAAAGCAAGAAAGTGTCACTTGTTTCATAAGACTGTTGAATTTCTCGGACAGGTGGTATCAGAGGAAGGAGTAAGCACAGATCCTTCAAAAATTTCTGCAGTACAAAATTTGTCTGTGCCTACTAATCTAACAGAGGTTAAAAGCTTTTTAGGCCTTTGCAGCTACTACAGACATTTTATACACAACTTCGCAGCAAAGGCAAAGCCACTGAACAAATTGACTGAGAAGGGATCAAATTTCAAATGGACAGATGATTGTCAAGCATCCCTTGACTCACTTCGACATGCACTTATCTCCGCACCAATTCTTGCCCATCCTGACTTTACACAGTCATTTATCTTGGATACAGATGCTAGTGACGTAGCAATAGGGGCAGTTCTTTCACAGACACAAAACGGAGTAGAAAGAGTAATTGCTTTTGGAAGCAGAACCTTATCAAAAGCCGAACGGAAATATTGCGTTACAAGAAAGGAGCTGTTGGCTGTTATCTACTTTACAAAGTATTACAAACACTACTTGTATGGCAAGCAATTTTTAGTCAGAACAGATCACAGTTCTTTGAAATGGCTAATGAACAGCAAGAATCCAGAAGGCCAGCTTGCTCGATGGTTTGAATCACTGAGCAATTTTCAAATGACCATTGAACACAGACCAGGGAATAAGCATGCAAATGCTGATGCCCTCAGCCGTTTACCTTGCAGAAAAGCATGTTGTACATCTTCTGAAAGTATAGTTAATACCATAAGTAGCGCAACACATTCGGATAAGTTGTCTTTGAAAACCAAACAAAACGAGGACAGAGACATAAATCAACTGATCAAATGGGTTGAAAAAGGTGTAAAGCCGGAGTCATCAGAGATTGCTGGTCAAAGCAACTTCATTAAGTCTCTATGTTCTCAGTGGGATGCTCTGGTATTAGAAAATGGAATGCTTTTCCGAAAGAAAAAGCACGAAAATGGCAAAATTTCTTTGCAAGCTGTTGTGCCATACAGTGAAAGACGAACAGTATTAGGACAGTTCCATGATGAAAGGACTTCTGCACATCTTGGGATAAAGAAAACGTTGGCGAAGATAAAATGCAAATACTATTGGCCAGGATTGCAGAAAGATGTTAAATTGTACATTGCTGGTTGTGAAAAATGCCAAAGGCGAAAATCACCAAATACTACTAAACGTGCCCCGATGCAAGTTGTCACTTGCGGTGCACCAATGGAACGTATTGCTACAGATATATTAGGCGAACTTCCCATGTCCAATAATGGTAACCGATATATACTAGTCGTATCGGATTACTTTACTAAATGGACAGAAAGTTTTCCTATGGCTAATATGGAAGCCGCAACTGTAGCTAAGGTGATAGTGGAAGAAGTCATAGCCCGCTTTGGAGTGCCTGGAACTATTCACTCCGATCAAGGAGTCCAGTTTGAAAGCAATCTTTTTACAGAAATGTGCCGGCTTTTGAATATAAAGAAAACACACACCACCCCGTACCGCCCCCAATCAGACGGGATGGTTGAAAGATTCAACAAAACTCTGGCTACCATGTTATCAGCCTATGTCAATGAGCACCATACGGATTGGGACGAACATCTCCCATACGTAATGATGGCGTACAGAGCAGCAGTCCACGAATCAACTGGCGCAACTCCAAACAAAATGATGTTAGGTAGAGAGGTCGCTACACCTTTGGATATCGTATACGAGGTCCATTCTGATATTAAGAGAATACCGCAGAATAGATGGGTTTGGGAGTTACAAGAAAAATTAGAAGAAGCACATGCAGTTGTCAGGGAAATGACAAAAAAGAGTATAGAACGACAGAAGTGGTACCATGATAGAAAATTAAACTGGCAGTCATTTAAGCCAGGTGACAGAGTTTACGTTTACTTTCCAAAACGTAAGACAGGTACATCTCCCAAATTTTCATCATATTGGCAAGGACCATTTGAAATTATTGAAAAGTGTTCCAATGTCACTTATAAAGTAAACTGTGGTTACAGAGGTGCAAACCAAGTCATTCATACTGACAGGATAAGGCTAATGAAAGACCAAATTCTAACATCAGAACCTTTGCAAGCGAATAACATTGCAGAAAATACAATGTCTGATTCCTCTGAAAACAATGCTCAAGAGGCTGAGGAAACATATGAAAAGGAGAGTTTTCAAGCAGATGGCAAACGAAAGAGAAACAGACCAGCCTACCTTAGTGATTACGTCTCTTTCTGAATATGTAAATAAAAATGAGTTTGGTAGGAAATACTACTACAGTTTTAAAGTTGAATGTTTTAACCTTGTTATACTCTTGTTTACCTATGCGAGGACGCATAATTTTTTTCGAAGGCGTGGGTAATGTAATGATATAGAATATTGATGGTGGATTTAAATGCTTGTGAAATCGACCAATCGAATCATTTTATATTTGACCAATCAACGCTTGATATCATAACCAATCAGAGTTCCAGAATCATCAACCAATCATTAGGAATTAGAAAGAGTATAAATACAGTCACCCATGAAGTATTTGCTTACTTGGTCGTTACTCATCGTTCGAGTAACACCTCTCGGGCTAGGTTCTTGGGCTGTGTCGGGAAACAACAGAATTGTTAGTTAAACCACTCAGCTCAGGAACCTAGTTCCTTAATAGTGTGTCTCAGTGACTATAGTGTCTTGGTGACTTACAGTAGTGTCTTGGTGACTTTTAATAAAAGGTGTCTCTGTGACTTTTAGGGTGTGTTTTTGTTTTTAGGTAGTTGCAGACTGTGTCGGGAAACAACAGGATTGTTGGTTAAACCACTCAGTCTGCAACTACAGTGTTATAACTTCATATTTGATTATTTGCTTGATCGTTAGTGATTTAATTGTGGTTGATTCGTTTCTTATAATTCGTTGTCGTTAAATTCATATTTGTTTGCTAATCATTTATCCAGATAGGACCGAGGAAAAAGTATATACACATAGTGAATTTCAGTTAGTTTCTTGTTATAGCGCCATTGTTGTTGAAGTTTGTTTGATTCATATTATAAACGTGATACTTAGGAAGGAATCCTAAGCGGACCTATTAAATAAGTATTTGTACTTTGTAAAAACGTTACAAGATGCTGGATTAGAGTCAGTGATAAGATGTGGATCATATCCTCTCTTAAGTCATTGTTGTCTTCAGCTGACGGCATGAGTTGTTGGTTTTCCACCTGATTCAGGTCACCTATAGGATGTTCATCAGGAAGATGCTCACAGTTTACTCGATCTTTCACTGCCATGATTTGCACATAATGTTTGCTTTGATTCTGGTGTGTCTCTGTCATGTCTCTGACACGTAGATAAAAGTCTAAATTGTCCAAGTTAAATCTATAGCCAGGCTCAAAGTCAGCATCATTCACAACACTACCATCTGCTGGTGCTGCATAGTCGTGATCCACTTTTTGATTATTACTCACTTGCACTTCAATATGTCTGTTCTCCTCTACCCGAGATTTTAGTGCATATATTTTTTCATCTGAAGAAGCAGCAGCAATATTTAGAGTTCTTTGTAAAGTGGAATGTCCAACAGTAATTCCCAATTTATGCAGAACTTCAAAACCTTCCTTTTGAAGATGGTTATTATATAGAGAAACAGCAACATTATGCTGCAGCTTACTCATGAACTTTGATCTGGAATTTAACAGCAAACACGCAGCAGTAGTTACTTTTGTACTGTCACTAACTTTATTCTTATTCTCAGCTACAGTGTTAAGAACACACCAAGTAATTGGCATAGTCTTGATAGAGTCTGTTGTTTCACTCAAACTGAATTCCAAGGAATCTTTTGATGTTTGGAATACATCTTTCTGTAACATCCTGCACTCTTGACGTATTACATCTGTTACACCTATTGTTTGAAAAAAAGTTTTCTTTGGAATATTAATGTGAAAACATTTGCTTGTTTTATGAAACAAATATGCTTGTGAAATATAGTTCATAGCCTTACAAAGATGTTGAACTTCATTTTTGATGTTTCACTTTGATCATGCTGTCATAAAGTTATGATCTTAACCAACTCAGAATGTGATTTATAGTACAAAATTATTTTCCATTGAAAACATGGTAAATAGACCTAAGAACCAAAAATTAAATACCCTCATTCTTTATCTGACCTTTTATACGTTTAAAAAATCATACTTTTATCAAATATGAAAATGTTTAATATCAACAAGCCTTTTTAGTATTTAAAATGTCCTGGTTTAAAGCTATAAATGCAATAAATTATATAAAGTCATAATGACATCTACCTGCAACTGCTTTCTCTTTCACTGTTGCATCAGCATTTGTCAGTAAAAGTCGCATGCCCTTCCTGATACTACCAGATGTAAGGCATCGGACAGCAGGCTGGAGATTTCTCTTGTGGCTAATGCTGTAATACTGGTGAACTTCTTTCTTCTCTGACACACGCTGTACACCAACAAGTTCACACTGCACAGCAGTATCAAGGACGTCTTTAACATCAGATTGACTGAAATCTAAACTTCGCTTGCTTTTACTGGAGGAAGCACCTACAAATTTAGATGAAGAAAAGATAAAGGCGTAGCTTAATCTCATTTTCATTTGTTGGTTTTCAAGAACAGCCCTCCTAGCTGTTACATTACGAAAGCCAATACAAAATACATGTTTGAAAAAATAAAATGAAAAGTATAACAAAAAATTTATTGACCGATCTCTCGGGCAGAATGTGTCTGTCGGCCCTCAAACCAAACTGTCTGCCTGAGGCCTGACGGACCAGGCAGACAATTGGTTCCTTGGTACGACACACAAAAGTCATATGAGATAAATGGAACATCTATCATTGTGTGATGTGATATTGGCTTTATCCAACTTGTTGAAATATTGTATATATTTGCTCGGCACGCCTCTGGAATATATACACCATTTCAACTTGTTGGATAAAGCCAATATCAATCAATAACAAGATAATTGATTGGTAATAATTCAGCACAATGCAAGGCAATCACACTTAGCCATGCCTCATTGCACTTCCAGTGAGGGATAGCTATCCAAACAATAGAGATGCATTTTCGGGGTGTTTAAAAGAGGCAATGTTTTTACTATAATCTATGCCTACATTGTTTTTATCAAACCTTTTAAAAAAAATATCAGTCATAATTTCCATGCGATCTTTTGTCTGCTTTTCATTAAACACTTACAGACCATTATTCTGAAATAGCTAAATAAAGCTATATTATGTATGTAAATAAAGCTATATAAGTAAATTAAGTAATATAGCTATATTACTTAATCTACTATTTGTAAAGTGATTTTCATGGACCTGATAAAATGTATCATAAACATGATTCCTCTGCCAATTACACTCAGTTTAACACATATTCAAACTCAATTTAACACATATTCACAGATGTTGTGTTGCAAAAAATATTTATGCAACTTATATCAGATGACATTTTTAAGATACCTACCGCTAAATGATTTCATATAAGGGGATTTCAGCTGCGGTGTTTTAATTCGAGAACATTTCTCTGATTTGGCTCTGCCTGGTGTCTCTACCCTCGCTCTCTTTGTGACATGCATGAGCTTGAACTTCTGAGACGTATTATTTAAAGAAGTGGTTAATTCCTCCGATTTGGACACCATTTCTAAAATTCTCTCCGTCAGCCTTTTGCAACCAATGCAAAGAAATGCGCCATCATTTTCCACTCGGTCAAAACAAGCACCATAAAACTTATTAACTAACTTTAAACTAGGTCCCGCACATCCCTGTTTCGTTCTCACAAAGTATCTCTGTTTTGACTCTTTACTGCAAGCAACACACACAGTTTTATCTGGTACTACGAAGTACTCGTTTCTCTTCATGGGCGTCGCCATTTTGGATTTCACGCCATCTCGCGTAAAAAATATTTTATTATAGAAAGCGTCCAGACGTTTGTGGAGGTAAACGCAAACGTCTGGATGATGCAGACTATCATTAAATTAGCTAATCACAAATTTGCAATAAAATTTTCCGATGTCAAACATGCAGCTCATATTGCTTTAATTAAATCAAAATATATAATTAAATTATAACATACTATGATTTAATTGGTCAGTGCATGAAGAAAACATTAATAAAGAACTAAAAGTTGATGCTCACTTCAAGCGATATATGTAGGGTTACATGACTCTATACTCCCTCTCTGATGTAAATTTATGCACTTGTAAGTTCAGTAAATTATAGGTATCAATAAGCACGTCTAACAAATAAACAAAGCCCTTCTGTCCTTAAAATAATACTAAAATGAATCCCGTCATTTTGTTTACTTACACAAAAAATGTTTCTGGCATCTGCATCGTGTTTGTAACCGACAAACAGACACAGAAAAGGGTAGAACTACAGGTATGTCACACTATATTACAGAAAAAGTTAGGCACTGTCACTTTCCATCTGATCCCTTTACTAAGTCTCCTCTTCTCTCTCCCAAGTCTCCTCCTTCCCCTTCTTTTCCTCTCTGTCCGTTTCTTCCTCCCCATCCCTGTCCTTGGCACACCTTAGCTATTCTTTGGTTGTGTTCTCAATGTCTTTTTAGAATCTCCAGTAGCACTAAAATTGTAGTATTTGGTACTTAATACATTTGTTACTTTTCTCAGTAAAGAGTAAACATACGATTAAATTTACAAGTATATCACTATATGTTTAAGCTGTCAATTAAGGAATAACCGTCTTTTTTGTTTCATAGTGTGATTAAGTGATTAGCTTGCGTGATGAAGGCATTTATGCATTTATACGCTTGATCATCATCATCACAACGATTTTGATTCAATGTTGCCCCATATAAAATACATGTATTGAAAATTTGTCGTTACACTGAACAAATTTTAAATGAAAGAACCCAATTTATGTTTGGCACTGAATAAATTTTGTTTTAACTTCAACAAGTTCAACATTTTCAAAATGTTTGATCATGTACTCGACGTTAAGTTTATATATTAAGTAAATTAAGTGGTAGACATCGGAAATTTATTCTACTAGACACAAATTTCAATCTAAATAAGGGGCAGATTATTTATTGTTTTTCTATACTTTCATTTATTTTTCTTGTATAGAAACAAAAAATTTAATCACTGATAATTTATTTTGTTTTGATAAATTATAAGAATTTTAAATTTATTTTAGCTAGCTTGTATTTTCAAGTAGGATTGGTTGTAGATTTATTTCTTATTGTAGTGTAGCGGCTTAGATCAAAATTTCAGCAAAATAGTTCACTTGTGGATACAAGCATGAAAATTGGTACAAATGTCTATCTGATACTACTAAATCTAAAAACATCGTTGGCCACCGCGATTTCCGCCATTTTCAAGATGGCCGCCACTAAAACAAACTGGCGACATTTTCAGGCAGTTTGGCCTCCCATACATTCTCTTACAACCAAATTAATTATACTTTGGACGCTTAAATATATCTAAAAAGTTTAAAAAGTCTATAAAAATCATATTTTAACTTAATTGCTATAAATATAAAGACAAAATGATTTTATTATCACACAAAATATCGTTCCCTATTGTAGAAATTAACGACATTATCACAGTAGCAAGAAGCCACTTTTTAAAAACTTGTAACAGATATTTTACTAAAAGCCTTGCAAGCAGGCGTTCCCTCACTATCGTGGGCCTGAATATCAAGTAAAATAATTCCTCAAGAAACATAAAATATCATGGAGTGAAACACTCCTCAAACGCACGTAAAATCTCAATAAATAAAATAATCCTTCGGAGAACATAAAATAGCACTGAGTGAAATATTCTTTCAAAAAACCTTTAATTTTAATGAGTGAAATAATCCTTTAAGAAACGCTAAAAAAAGGAAATGAATCAATGTTGTATTTATGACATAAAACAACAGGTAACCACTCGCTATCCACAATGAAGAATGCCATGGACTGTGAAGTCAGCACCATCCTTTTAAAATCTAAGACAAACGCCTGTGATGGCTAAAAAAGCCGCTTGTAACCAACAGATACGATGAGAATGACTGGAAATTTATGGTGAAGATAGATATGTTGTCAATATGTTCAATGGGTTGAATATTGAAATGGCAGCTTAAAAACTGCTTGGTGATTTGTTGAAAGGAAGCGGCTGGATGATTGCATTGATTCAAGCAGAAGTTGCATATTTTGGAATTGCTGAGTCTTTACTAGCATTTTTGAAATCTTGCTAAAACAAGACAAGATAGTCAAATTACTGCCTGCTGTGTGTATGACTTGATTAAAAGGCAGACCAAAACGCAAAGGAACTCAATAATTGTGATGAAATTGAAATAGATGATCTATTTTTCTTGGAGTTCAAAACAAAAAAAAAAAAAGATTTCACAATTTAAATTTTGGTAAAGAATTCTGTTGGAACTCGTTGTCTTTCTTTTGTAAGGTCTTGCAGAGAATCAGATGTTAGGCTTTACTTAGAACACTAGTAATTGCCGTTGGTCATATCAAATTTGTTCGATGGGTACCATTTCACCTTTGGGTGCAATGTCAAAACACCCGGACATATGTTTAGTGATAAATGAAAAAAAGAATTTACTTAATAGTTTTCAAACTTTGCCATTGGTCAAGCCCATGAGCATAACAATGCTATTTGTAAAAAGTGATGGTTACATGTAACAGAAGATCAGGTGATGGTTAGTGGAAGATCCAGCTGCATTAACGGTGGTAGCTGGTCCAGAAATCAGCAAACTTCCTAAAGAGTTCAAATGAATATGTTGATATGTTCAAGAGAAGAAGAAAAACATCACAAAGAAAGTCATGCTGCTCAAGAAAGTTTATTTTCACAAGTAAATCGGGCTATGCATACATGTATAATTTTGGAAATGGGAAATCCATTTGAGGAAGAGTTGCTTGATCTTTATAGTTATTGTCGAAACTGAAAGTGCAGGATTTTTATAGTTGTTGTCGAAACTGATGAAACTGCAGGATGAAATATTAAAAAAGGGATACATTGGAATAGAACAATATTGGGTATTCCTTTTAAGAGTATCTGAAGGTGATACTCAAGGTTTTATGAACTTGTTCAGAAGGATAAATTTCGCATATTCAATCCAAAACAAATTCTGTTTCTTCAAAGTAAAAGTTGGCAAATTTTGAAGATGACTATAGCAGTTTTTCTATGTTATTTATTTTCTGTCACAGTAGGCATGCAGTGCGATGTACAAGAACTTTCTGATCATGAAATCAGGAAAAGAGTTGCCAAATAATGTACTGACAGAAGATTGTCAGTTATATCATTGAAATAGCTTTTGTAATTGACAGTGCATCATTAGTCAATTCTAAATAACCTGAAATTTTAACTAATATGCCAATGTCATTATCCTTCTGCACATTAATTCTCTTGTAAAAGGTAATTTGAGGGTAGACACTATCTTTCGAGTTCAGAAAGAGGATAGTTTTAAGGCAGAATCTGAAAAGAAATGTGACATGGGTCTAGACGAAAAGTAACTTGGAACACTAGACCACCAAAGTCATGGAACACTTTCTTTCAGTGTGACAAGAACAAAACTGAATGGGGGGGTTTTAGCAGGCAGAACTATATTCACGATTACAGAGGCAACTATCATTGTAGTAAAGGGAAAAAAACTGTCAGTATAAGCAAAGCTATATATACCAACTTTATACCGCTTTGCTAACATGAAGAAGCTGACACCCGTATGTTCCTTCATGCAAAACATGCAGCACCGGGTGGTAGCAGCACAGATCAATCTACATGGTTAGTTCGGATACAGACGTTGTTGTGTAACTCTTTTTGATCAATTAAATGTGGATCAGTAATGGATGACATTTTGAAAGGGCAAGGATTTGAGATGAATAACAATTTATGATGTTGTTAGATCACTGGAACCATATCAAATGCATTACCATTCTTTCATGCATTCACGGGTTGTGATACAGTATCGGCCATTGTTTGGAAAGGTTAAAAGACAGCATGACAGGTCATGAATATGTTTGAGAAAGCCAAAGAAATATTCAAATCCAATTCTGAAGCACCCCTTGTCAAACCTTTAATCAATGCACTGGGAGAATTTGTTGCCATCATGTACAATCAGCACTGCGAATAGCATTAATGACGCTTGCCTTGATCCCTTCCCTAAAGAGCTGCTCTTGTAAAGCAGATTTAATTGGAGACCTGGATTGCATGATGGTCATTCATGGGGTCAGTCACTATTAGTATGCAAGTGACTTACTTTAACCTCACCTTCCAGTTAGGGTTGAGTTAAAAAAAAACGTGGATTTTGTGCCCCACACTGTACATTCTTGCCAGCAATAGTGCATCATGTCAAGAACTACTAAAATGTTGGTTTAATATAACTTCAACTGCTTCAGGTCCGGATTACCTTACATTGCTTTATGCAGCTATACACGTTTCAGAAGATTATTCCAGTTATGTCCTTAAAACAGCTTTTGTTTGTATTTAAGCGCCTGCGCAGTGTTTGTATATATATAATGGAGCTCAAATTAAATCATGTACCAAGTTCCCTTTTATTATTTAAGAAAAAATGAAAGTATTACCGAGGAAGGATGAAAATATTAGGAAAAATTATGAAAATAGGCGCCATTTTGAAATAAGTGGCGGCCATCTTGAAAATGGCCGAAACTTGAGTGGCCAACGATATTTCTTTTTTCAGTAATAGTCAAAGAACCTTCATGCAAAATTTGGTGCTTGTATCCGCAAGTGAAATATTTTCCCCACTATCCGCTCCGCTATTGTAGGGACGATCAGATTTGTTAATATACAGATTTGTAACAATTAAATGTTTATACACATTGGCCCAATGTTGGTCCAATATATCGGGCCAACATTGGGCCAAGGAGCAAAATGACACTGGGCCAACGTCATTTACCAACATCGGCCCAGTGTTCTTGTTGACGTTTCGCCAACATATTGTCGCATTCATTGGGCCAATGTTGGCGCAACGTTGGGCCAATATCT